CCGGACCTCGAAGGCCCGCCCCCCTCTGGGGAGGGGATGTGGAGTCCCACTCTACACACAGGGCCATCTCGAGTCAGAATCCACCCACGCACAGCTGCCAGTCACAGCCAAAACAGCTACCAGCCGCTCATCAGGGTCCCTGAGGGCCAAGGAGGACAATTTCCAAGGCTGTCATCATTAAGAAAGCAGACAGCCTCACCTTCCTTGAAGGAGCCCCCTGTGGGTTCGAACAGCCAACCTTTCCACTAGCTGCTGAGCCTTTGACTCACTCCACACTGTCAAGGACAGTCCTGGGACTCCCATGGGGCTGCCTTCTCTGTCCTGCAGGGTTGCTTGGTGTGGGGACCCACTGGATGGCAAGGGAGCAATCTTTACAGACGGGACTGCTGTATCTTTCTGGGGGGCCCACAGCTGAGCGAGCAACCACTCCACCAGCAGGTCTCCTGCAGGGACAGTCACCCTGGAGTAGAGAAGGATGGGAGCTTCAGAGACTGAACAGAGACCAGCACTCACACATCACCTTGCCGCGCAAAGAACCACCATCAATATTTGGACTGCTTCGCTACACGCTCTTAAGACCGCAGAGGCCTGCCCTCCCCAGCAAGCGCCAGCTGCCAGCTCTCCGCTGCTGCTTGAAAGTTTCAGAGTGCCAGCGCGTCAGGTTGCCTCCAGCTACAGCCCGCCCCTGCCATCTCTTTTTCCTGCATCAGATCTTTCCCCAAGTGAACAATTACGCTCGCATACAGAACTGTGCGTTTCTAACGGACGGACGCTTCTCTGTGCACGTGACTCATCTTTGCCTGTGGACCCCATACTTCCAAAAGCCGACGGATTCTGTGCCCTCGCTCAATCCCCCACCCCAGAGGGCAGCTGGGGGTCCCCTGGTCTACACCTCTGAGTACCTTTCTCCCTGAGATCCAGCGATCTGGGTCGAACATCAGCATCCAAGGCTGTTTGGAGGAAGAAGCTATTCAACCATGTTCTCTGCCTGTTCCAATATACTGTACCCCACAAACGGGATGAATCCTGAAAACTCCATGCAGACCAAAATTGTCCTCAGAAAAGGACCAAGACTGTGTGACCCCAACTTTCCCGAGGGGACTTGGAAAAGTTCGTGGGGAAATGGAATGAAAAGGTGGTGGAGGGTTTTCCCACCACTTTTTGAAGGCCCTTGTATCTGAAGAGGGAGAAAGAGGAGGCTT